TCTTGTTTCTTCCAATGTAATATCAACCAAAAGGTTGTCAGATTTTTTTTACAAATTTTGTGTATGAAATAAATCAATTAATCGCTGCACTGATCTAATATAAATGGACACATACATTCTGTGCAGAAAAAAAGATCTAATCCTTTGAAATCCTGTTATAATCTGTGTAATATCTTGTAGCAGTGAGTACCATGCACCAATTATAGTCTGAAAGTACTTTCTTTAATCAACTGTACATGTTCTGCCAGGCAGTTTAACTTACAGCCCTTTGTTCTCCCACAGGAGCAATCAATTTTATTTTCTCCATATAATCCTCTATTCTGTTTACTACCAGTGTGTTCCTTCTGTCACATTTTTGTTTCTGCAAAAACATTGACAATTTCAATTTTTCTTCAAATCACAGGTTTCTCTGTGTCTTTATATAGTGTCATTTTCAGCATCTAGATGCTTAATTTTATCCTTATTGCAAAGCTATCGGCTATGGCCGGAGCTGAGCAGGCTGTGTCACCTACTTGGAGAAGTACTTTGACAGCATCAGTGTTATTGCTTTCTATTTTGGGGAGAATAACAGTTATACAACAAGCAGAGCTCTCTGCCTGCAACCAGCTCAACTGAAAAGTCTGGTTTTCTTCTTGGATGGTCAAACCTGAAGATAATGCATCCTACTGTGGGCAGTTATGATCAGCCTTACCTTGATTTTGTCAAAAGCACTCAACGTACAGGAAATTTACCTTGAACATAAAATATTTTTACTACATCTGTGAAAAAGAGGGAAGAGAGAGACAGGCCTTGGTAGGAGAAGGGAACACACAGAAGGAATAAATCCAGTGGGTCCTGGGGCATGAGAAGGCATAGGATTGAGGGACAGAAGTTGTGAGGACACACATCTTGCATGAAGTTTATAGCCTCTAGTTGAAGTAGGAAATATATTTTAGAAATTGTCTTCAAGTGTAGAGTTCTCAATGTGTCTCCATACATGTAGTTACTCATTTCATTTATCAGTTTTGTTGTTTGACCTTTTGCTTGAAGGATGGAAGTATAAATCTTAATCTAGAAAATGAATGTATTTTTCTGTCAGTGCCTATGTGCAGAGTTTAAACAGATACGTATATATGAATTTTTTCTTCAAATCTTTCTGGATTGAAATGAAAAGATGGGTTTTCTTCAGAAAGGAAAAGAAGTGAAACTTACTTGAAAGGAAATGGAAGATGTAGTTGGCTCATTGTTATCTGAAGCATTTCTCTTCTTTGTTGTGCTGGGCATAAATGAATGGCTGCTATACGTACATACATGACACTCAAGCTCTGGTTCATGATTTCTTATTATTAAATCTTGGAAGGTGTGATAACATCAAATTCCAACAGAAGGGGTTTTATTCAGGAAGGAATCTTCCTTCAAAAGGCAGACACTACTTTTGCAACTCTCCCTTGGATTATTTGTTGCTTGCTTGCTTATCTTTTCCACACTACTCCACCTTATTGTCAGATTAATGAAGGAGAATGCAGCAGGCATTAATAGCCACCATCTTTGATGCTTCTTTCTTTAAGCTAAGTCTTCTAAGGAAGTCTGCTTACACAGCTTGCCACAGGTGCATCAAACAATTTAGATGTATGTTGTTCAGTTTCAGCTGCACTTTTTCAAAAAGGCAACTGGTGACTGCTGTAGGAGAAAGTCAGAAACGACTGCCCCTGCTGAGTGCACAGCAGATACCTTACATCCCTTCAGCAGCAGGTGGCTTGTCAGTCAGCAGCATGCAAGTCTGGACTCCTTTGGATGGATATTCTCCTCTATCAGAACTGCCACAGCGAATAATGGTGCCTACATCTCAGAGGAAATGGAGGGCAGGTAGTGAAGGAGATGGCTAAAAGCATGGGCTCCTCCTGCCTTCATTAGTTCTTTGAGGAACGAAACTGTTCACATGCACAAAAATTTGTGTAAGTACACCCCCAAGTATTCGAGGCATTAACAAAAATCCCAAGCATCTTGTTCATTCCAATTGCTTCTCCACCCACATTCTTCATTCAATTAAAGGATATCCTACATGCGCTTTTGTTTCTCTTATTCCCTAAAGATCATTTCATCACACACACCAAGCAAAGATCTTCAGCATATTCATAGCAACATCCCAGACAGAGCATTCAGCATTATGATGTTCCTGGCACAAGGGATGTTATTAAAGGATTTTAGAGATGAATAGACTGCAGATTTCCCCAGGGCAAGACATCAGAAAACGGACATCAAAAGAACATGGCTCAAAATGCAGTGGGCATTACCAGCTTCTGGCAAATCCCACTGATTTCTGAACAGTAACGCTGTCAGGCTGCATTAGAGACACGTCCCTCCTGGAATATCTCTGTAAAGCTATGTTTGCTTATCCATAAAAGCATTTCAATTTCAATACTCAACCCTCTAGTTCATGTCAGCATAATCTTCACTAGTAGAAAACATATCGGGCCAAGTCCAGATACAACCTTACTCAAATCTTCCAGTGCAAACATGACACAGACTCTATAGCCACCTAAATTGCATTTGTTTTCTCCAGCCATCATTCACAAACACAAACAGACCACTACAAGCCATGCAGATCTACGAACACGTGAATATTTCTTACAGGAAATGGAGTTTGTCACATATTACACATCATCTTCACAGATCCTAACAGGATGATGCTCAGTGACAGGAATTTTTCTTTTAAATCTCTATTTCCCTTCTTCACCAAAAACTCACTGGGATTTATTTATTATCTTACAGCTATTTTGAACCACCAGTAACAACTCTTAAGTAGGCAGTGAGGAAGGAGAGGCACGTATACTGACATGATGTCACCTCCTGACTTATGCTAGGACATAAAAATAGTTTGAAAAGTAGCATGACCAAAATTACAGTATCATTTAATTACAACCTACTTTCATAACAGGCTGTCAGTTAATTAACAGTATCAAAATGCTGAATCGCCTCCAGCTTCTACGTGCTTTGCAAATGACATGGAAGTTATCTTTTTAAATAGCAACAGCTTAAATGAAACTGTAAAATTCATAGTGAAAATGCTCTGAAAAATGAAGCAGCACCTGAACTGATACAAAATTCCCCACACCAAAAATTCACTAGGAAAGACAGTTAAAATCCATTTGATTTGTTCTCTGAAGCTCATATTCACACAGTGATGTTCTTGTACTAAAAACTATTTTTCTGAAACTGGTATCATTTTTAAAAAGTTATTTAAAAAGATCCTTAAGTGACAATGGTCTGTGCAGCTCACACATGGCCTGGCTCCAGCACTGGCACCTTCCTCCAGCCTGCTGAGTGCAGGCAAGCATTAAGCTGTTGCATGTAGGCCTACCTCCATTTCATACTGCTTTCTACTCCTGGGTGTCTGCTTCCCTCCTCCTCTAAACAGCAAACTCCTAGCACTAAATTCCTTGTTATCTTTATTGGACAGACTTTTAAATTATTTTATGTAAGTTTTGCATAAATTGTAGCAAAGCAGAAGAATGCAGGGGTAAATGGACTGGATAGACAACTCATGCTGAACTAGCCAGCAAAAGATAAGAACGCTGCCCAAACACAGAATTAGGCTGTCTTTTCAAGGCTAAGAAAAGGAAAAATATCTTGAAACTAAAACAGTGCAGCCTTTCTCTTACATTCTCACGTTTATAACAAGATGGTCTCTGTGACGCAAAGCCAGAAGTTTTTCTTTGTTTTCCAAAGGAAAATGAGTGCTTAACATCAAGAGAACTGCTGAGCAAACATCTCCCCCTGTAGCATGTGAAAAACCTGATCCTTTTCATAACTTAAGGAAATCCTGTCCTTTGAATGAATAAAGGAGCCAAGGTAAAACAGAGCCAATGTCATAGAGCTTTATGTCATATAATAACAAGGGTATATATACATGAGGTAGAGTGATTGAATAATAAAGGATAAGGCTACAAGAAAGCAATCTGGTAATACAGGAGAAACCGTGCTGGGTGGGTTCACAGCAGTGTCTGGGTGATTAACAAATTAGAGGTTGGAGAGGAAGACAGGAGATTGGATTTCAAGATAATTTGGGCGTAGGACGAAGAGGAGCTCCTCAGCCCTTTAATTCATGCAATTGGTAAAAGACTTCAAATACGAAATAGAAAATAGTGAGCTTCCTAAGCTGAGTTCAAAGCGTTCTTTGTAACTGAAGTCTTTGATCAAAATACTATTTCTTTGGTAAAAATACCATTTAGTGTAACGAGGTAAGAAAATGAAAGCTGACAAGTAAACAAGAACAATTCACTCTGCCAGGATGAAAAATACCTCAAAACAATTTTGGAAAAATTGTCATTGTTCAACAATTTCACCTTTATTTCCAAGGTGCTGTGCTGTATGGATCCTGCTGTTTTCTTGTGCTAGGACACTATTGCTTCTTCTGCAAGGAGGAAGCTCTGAGCCCCACACTGACATTTAGAACTGCTGAGAACTTGTTATGAATTTGAGTACACCTTAAATGACAAGCTCTTCAGGGAAATGGACCATCTTTAATTCTGTACTTTTGCAGAAAACATCGTAAGGAGTTAGCATCCGATAAAGCCTATTATGCAATGTGATGATGCAGCGTTAATTGCACATTGTGTTCTCCCTGACCACTTCCTTCAATATTTAAAAGACTACCCTGAAGATAAACATTAGCTCAAGAGGGGCTAGAATGGCACTGCCTACACCAATTTCCACCAATGGTGAAAAATACCCCACGAACGGCAGCTGACTCAGCCAAACCTACCAATTTAAGCATACCTAAAATTCCCCCTTGCCAGGTGTGACAATGAACTCTAGGAGGAGTCAGGAATCCAGCAAACATGCCATTTGGACATTAAATAACAGAATAAATTAGTGAAAAAGTAGCAATGTCACTGGTGTCACTGCAAAGATCTCCAAGCTGAAAAGAAGCTACTAATTACTCCTGGAAAGTTGTGACCTTTTCCCCATTAGTTCACTTTTTTTCCTAGTAAACATGGAAACAAAAACCAGACACATGCTAGTCTTCATCATGTCATTTATTAGGTCAGCAGTGATGGCAAACAGGGAATCAGTCAGTCTTACTGTCACAGACAAGCTCTACCAACACCTCACATACATGTACACAAGAGAGAACAGGCATGACTGCACACACTCCTGCTATTCCAATGAACTCCATGGCTCTGCTTGAACCATCCTGTTCTCATAGCAATATTTTGACTTCACAACTACGTGGCAACCTCTTGCTCTAGCTAAAGGATGTTTCTTCATTAAGTGTAATTAGGCCTATAAAAAACAGGCTTATTTATGCCTTGCCAAATCACATGATTAAGATTTTGTGGAGTGCTGTGAGTCAGAGCACTTTGGAAGCCCTGCCCTATTACTTCTTCAACATCTCAATGACGAGACTCTAAGTTGTTCAGAACTGTAACTCAAAATCAGTCAGCTGAATGTTCTGAATTTGCTTAAAAAAATAAAAAAACCACCAAAACCAAGTGAACTCTGGGGTTTGTTGTTTCTTGTCACCTAGACGTTTGTTAGTAACCTATACATGGACACTGACGTATTTGGTCCTTGGATGGAAGTTCAAAGGGCTTATGGGATCTACTGAATAAGAGTTATTAGATAAGCAACTACAGTACATTCCTGTTCTTACCATGTGACTGTAAACTAGTTAGGAATGCTTGACAAAACCAGTATGTCCAAGGATATAAGATTAAACACTAAGTTTGCCACAGAATAATAGTAAGTACAGCAAGAAGCTTCTGGGGAAGCAGGAGCTGGAGTGGGAAAAAAAAAAGCAAAACTCTTGGTAAAATAAAGGGAAAACAGCAAAACCAGAGAGATGTTCTGTTCTGACAAAGATCACGTACTTTTGCTTTAACAGGATTACTTAACTGTGATGGCAACAACTGTTAAGGCTTGTTTTTATTGAGCAGGTAGACAATCCATCTCCCACAGCTATTTTCCATGGGACTGTTTAGGAGGGTAAGACTAATCACAGATAAGTATTTCATCATCTCTCTCATCTTGGCTTATCTAAGTTAAAACTGAAGGGTAAAAAGCGAATAAAGGCACATCTCATACAAATCTTAACACAGATTAATGGCTCAGCAGAAAAACTAACATGCACAAAAAGTAGCTCTCATGTTTATTCAAGGAAAGTGAAGTCTTGTTTTGAATGGCTACTTTTCATTTGCTCTTTCCTGATACCTGGCTGTCCTGAGTCATTAAGGACCAAAGAGCTCAAGCAGTTTTCAAGTGTTTGCAAATCTTATTATGTGAGGCAGCACAAACTCATGATTACAGTTCAAGGTAGAAAACAATGTGAGTGGTTACCAAGGAAGATGCACTTAGTATGTGTTCTTGATGAGGGTACTGTCAGCCACTAAGAAAGTGTTGGTGTAAGGCATCTAAACCTTTTATTACAGCTTACTGCACTCAGAATATTATGCAGATTAAAGCTAGAAAAAAGCACACATGGAAAGCTTTCTAACAGCTAAGACACCTGTGACATTCCACTGTATGTTCCCACAGAACAAGCAATGCTGCTCAAAGTCACCAAGTTCTCAGTGACAAGGACTGCACTATAAAAACCCTCTCTCATTTAACAAAATCCTCAGGAAACAGCATGCATCACTAGGAGCAATAGATTACCCCTTCTAATTTGACTTGTAGCCTTTAAAATAAAAGAATGGGAGGAATATTTTTTTTTTATGGATAGCCAATTTCAAGGTTTACAGAACTGAGCTGGAAAACCACCATGTAATGGGATAAACTGTTACAATTTCAGAGTTGGAAGTGGCTGACAGTTTTCAGTACAAACTGCCAATGAAAGCAATTCTGCAACTCAAAGGGCAAGAGAATAAATAAGGGTTATAATATTGCTGCGTTCCAAAGTTAATAATTTACAACACAAACTACGAGGCCGAGAGAAAAGATGTAGAAGATACTAGAAAATGTAATGCATTCCTTGCTTTTCAGAAAATTGACATCTCTTTTGAGTCAAAACAGAAGCCTCAGCAAAATACTCAAATATCCAGCAGCAGATTCTGAGAAATGCTGGTATCTTTCAATCAAGCTGCAGAAACCAAGCTGTGGGAAACCCCTGTTCAAAGTAGAAGTTACTTTAAGCCCTGCTTTCTTTTAGAAACATTAAGAAAATGCAAGCCATCCATCACTGCAACTGTCACTCACATACAAATAGAGCAAACGCTTCAAATTGAACAGGGAGAAACTTTAGTTCCATCATCAGTCTGCAGACTGTGAAAACACTGTAAGCAAGTTACAGCTACTTTCAATTAAACACAACATGTTAGAAAACCATTTGAAATAAGACTCCATCATAGAAACAGCAATTTATTAAAGCTCACATTGAAAGCCATTTACTGACTGAGGTTTTCAGTGAAAAGAAAAAAAAAGTTCTATTCCTGTTCCCCTCCCCCCATCACTTTTCACTATCTAAAAAGAAAAGAGGCATGCAAAACGAGCAGTGGAGGAAGGCTCTATTTGGGTGCTGTGTAACTACAAAGCAGAGGATGGCTGGAGCAAAGGGTGGGTGCAATAAGAGCATGCTGAAGTCATTCTGCATTCAGCTTATCCAGCCTATGTTGCAGGCACCAGCTTGCCAGTTATGACCTCCATATTTCATAATTAAAAGAAAGTTCAAAAATAAGCTTTGAGTTACAGAATCTGACCAGATTGGTCACCCAAGGCATCAATATGGCAAATCCTTCCTTTCTTCCAAACTCAGTATGTCTCTGGCAGCAGCACCGCAAGCTCCAAATACCACCTTGCCAAGAGAAGCCTCAAAGGCAGAAGCAGCAGAAATGGTGGGGAAAAAAAAAAAGCTGGTTCAGTATGTAGGGCCCACTGATGTGTGGTCACCTCTGCCAAGCCTGCCCAAAAGGACTGCAGTGCAAATGCTTCTTTTAAAAGAAGGCTACCATTTATTTAGCAGAAAGTGAAAGCTAGCTTTCTGTCGGGTGGCAAGGCAAAGACAACCAGATGGGCCCTGAACATACAGCTTCCTCTGCAGGAATCTGAGACCTGCAAGTTCAAACACTGCTGCCAACGCTTAGGATGCAGTTTCACAAGCTGAATGAACCAATGAAAGCAAGCTGTCAAGATAAGCAATGGTCAAGCTTTTAGCACATGCAAGTACAACCACAATCAACCATCTGGTACAGCTTTCACAGTAAAGTGAAAAATAACAAAAAAAAAGAAGTGATTTACAACCAGCTGAGCAAGGTGATCCAATTGGCCTCACAGATTAGATAACTATTTCTGGTGCTCAAGAAAGCAGAAAAAAGCAAGACCTATTTATTTCTCTTGGTGGTGAGGAAGCATTAGATTGGTGCAGGCCTATCAGCAAGCTTTACTCCTGGTGTGCAAAGGTGCTGACAATTTGCTGAGATTTTAAGTTTTCACTTACCTACATTTGGCAATAATTTGCATCATTTGGAAATTTCCAGCTTCACATCTGGACTCAGAGTCAGATCTGATGAAAATGCAGTTTGCACAACACTTCTCAGTGTCTGGAGAAAGCTGGTCACATAGCACTGGCTCCTCTTTGTATGCTAAGTTGCATCAGACAATCTAAAAATACATTAAATACTTTCTAATATTACTTTTTGACATTAGCAGTTACTATAGCTGCCACAAGGATGTTGCAAGAAAGGGTGAGAGGTCACATAATTACTCAGCTGGAATATATACACTGACAACTCAAAATACCACGGAATATAATTCCTTTTTATTGTTTAAACCTTTGCCTTACTATTGATACTTTTATCTGCTCATTGGAGTTTTAAATAATCCCTTTTTACTGTAAGGATGTGACAGATTAAGCACATTCACGAAGTCCACCCGCAACAGAGATTTAAGGAAATGCTGTATAGCATTTGAGAATCTGACAGATACCAGATTGCCACAAGAAAATGGCATCTGAGCAAACTGCTGGTCTGTTGTTTAATAGGGGGTGCTCAATAGGGCTGTTGGCCCAACGAACAGGATGTGCTTACCACGTGGAATCAGCCTTTGCAGATGCAGCTCTTTTCTCTCAAGAGCCATCCAGACTGTTTATTCATTTACGCATCACGTGCTTGTGTGAGGAAGGGTGGTGCTCCCAAAACGAAGGCAAACTAAGGCACTTTAAGATGTGTGCATTTGTTTCTTCTTGCCAAATATAGTGCCAGAGTCCAGACAAAAGCCCAGTTCCCAATTACTACGCTCTATGCATAAACCCAAGCTTCTACCCAGACATACCAGCAAGACCGATTTTAGAGTTAAGTCTCTTCACTTGCTCTGCTTGGCTACCTGAATTCTTGACTGGCACTGCAGCCCCCATGTTTCTGAATAAATCCATGAAGTTCTTCAGTGTCTGCAAAATGGTCTTTGAAAAGGGGGAAAAATAAAAAATAGAAATTACTTTACGGGAAAATAAATAGCTGAATGTGAATAACCATTCCCCTTACTTCTGCAATCGCTTCCATAAAGTTGCTAAGATTGTTGTGCTGTGCTTATTTGTGCATCATTTCATTTGTTCAATTACAAAACACGGATCATTTAGTTAATTAGTATAATCTTGATCTGCAGAATAATCTGGTCACTTTGCTGAACAAAATACTACTGTCTTCAAGGAACAAAAAGAGGATGATCCTAAGGGCCAGTGGGGGAATTCCCTCACCCACCTTTCAGCTGCAGTTTGTTAACACCTTCATATGTCCCCACTGTCTGGAGCAGCATAGTCTGATTCCAGGGAAGCCCCAGGAGAATCCTCACTAGGGAGCCCCTCAGGAGAGACATTACTTCAACTCTCAGATAAAGTAGCTTTACCTCACTCTGTTGTCACTGCCTCAGTTCCTTCCTGTAAGCAGCAATACACTCATCATTCAATACACCACCCAGTAAAGAAACCATGAAGACCTCCAGACCTCATTTTGAATCCAGAACGTTATTTGCTAAGATCCAGGCAGAAGGGATTTCATAGCAACTCCCAATTCCCACAGAACATTGACAGAAAGTGAATTCTCAGCATATTTCAGTAGTAGTTCTGATTTCACCTTTATCATTCCTCATGCATTCAAGTATTCCTAGACTAGTTAAAAAAACCACCCAAGCACTATTTTTTCACAGCTGTCAAACGTTCTTTTCACATCAGCTCCTTCCACCCTACTAACACTCACTTGCAAACTCACTTATTAGCCAGTGCTGCTCGAGAAAACCCCTCACCATCACTTAGTTCCAAGTTTCCAGCACTACTGACTGCAGGTAACTACTGACACCCATCTTGCATGAGCCCTGCTCTCCTGTCTGAGGCCACCAAGTCACACATTTCCTCTCAGTAGCTTACTAGGGAAATACACAAAGCTACTGACAGCCTACTAAAGGAGACCAGAGTCTGCAGTCTCAGAAGTGTGCCAAGTTCTTGATTCTTTCAACCTTCTGTGATTCAGCTTTGATTCTTGCACACAGCCCAAGAAAAGTTTCAACCTACATTCTGCTCTTTTCAATACTATTTTAAGTCACTGCCAAGATTTTTAATATGTCAGTAACTTTCATCATTACCTTTTTTATGTCAGTGCTTAAGTAGTGAGCAAACTCACTACAGAACTACAGTGGTTACAAAGCTCCAAACCAAGCAAAGAATATTTTGATGCACCATCTGCCCACCTCATTGTGGAGTTTCCACAGCAGCAACACAAACTGTTGTTAACTCTACGTTCCACCAGAATTTACAAACACTGTTTGAGTAATACCATGAATAAATATGAAGAAAAATAGCTTTTCCCACAAGAGCCTTGATGAGTTACTTTTAATTAAAATCAGTTTAATGATTGATAAGCTCTAGTATTTCCAGCAGCAAATCATAAGTGGTTGACTGTTTTCAGGTACAGTGAGAAAACTGATAACGACATAAGCTAGCATATTCAGTTAGTTTACTGGTTGTCAAACACAGGAAAGAACGGTGGTTTAACGTGTAAATTGTCATGACCAAGAACAAAAATTAAACGAGCATTCTGCAAGAATTAGGAAGTTAAACTATACAAGTTCACTGAATCCATCACTTACTCTTAATCTCTCACAAAATTACTTTCCATATACTTGCTGCATCAGAAACTGTGGAGCAAAAATGTTCAGTGTCTGATTAGTACTTGGAGCAAGAGGGATGTCTCATACACAAACTCAGTACAATTGCTACTTTGAAATGTTCTCCACTCATGCCCCTTAAGCAAATGGCAGAACACCACGTGTTTCCTAGTATCCTTCGTTTGCTTTGAGCTTTCAAAAGCAGCAAAAGGCAACCCAGTGTGCCTGTGCACACATTAATGAAGAAATCTCTTCCTTATAAACAGAAGAATCTGCAGCTGATCAAGATTAGCCATACGACGAACCAAAGTTTCATTCAACACCACAGGGAAAACAGGAGTGTGGGTACATGAAAGCGTGAAATCCTAAAGCTCTAGCACAATCTTCCCTAATCCTGCATGCATCTTCCTCAGTAACTGTCAGCAAGGGTGCATCACTGTAAAACAGTGGCTGCATCCACTCACTGCCCCTCAGCTACTGGTGGTGGGAACAGACAATGCACAAGAGGTAACATCTCCTCTTCCGTACTGCTGATTTATTTTGTAGCAAGATCCATGTAGTATATAAAATATAACAAAAAAATGAACAAGATCTATAAAATGAGTTCAGATGACAAGCCACTTCAGCTCTGCTTTCATGGTTTTATCACGATGCCACCAGACTCATTGACTGTTTACTTTGTACTGTTACAGTTCTATAGCATATGAATCTACATAAAAAAAGCTGATATGTTCCAATTAAGCTATAGTTAAGTGACAAAAGTAGAGGAGAAAAAATGGCTTTCTTAAGCCACAGCTGCCCCTGACACAGGTTACAATGATGTCTAACTATACTGCAATGCACGTAACATCAAGAACCTTGAAAGAGCTTCTGAGAAATCAGGTTCACATTAAGCATTTTAAAGGAAGGTCATAAATACTGCATTGTACCAGCGGTACCTCCCAATGTCCTCTTTATGCCTGAGGAGCATTTGTGGGTTTTAGTAAGCTACTAAAATAGATGACACCAAACCTAGAGGTAGGTTATAGGCAAGGGTAAAATACAGGCAATAAAAAAAAAGTCCCTTTAGAGCTAGTCATTGCACAAACTGCCAGCAGGAGGCAAGGCAAAATGTCAACAACTTCTTCCCACCTTGAACATTGCTCACATGTGCATTTAATTTCTAGTGCCGTAAGAGTGACGCCGGATCATCAGCTGCTAGTAAATGCAGTCATGCCAAGAGAACAGCCTGAAGGAATTCAAGCAAAAAATCTGTCACTGTGCAAAACTGGTGCACTGGACTGTTACCAACTAGACCTCTAAGTTTTCTAAGTGACCTGATGGTAGAAAACCAAAGGGTTTGTTGTCATTTTGACCTAATATACCCTACATGTTCATAGGGAGAACACACTGCTAAGTCTATGTGAAAGGAGTCAAACATCAGCTTGTCTCAAAAAGGAAATAAGGAGAAAAAAAAGATCACTTTGCTGAGACCAAGATTCCTCTTTTGGAAAATTACTGTACCAAACAAGCTGATAAAATATCTTGTCAAAGGTAACACGTGGGCATCAACATAAAGTTAATAACAAAGACTGCATACATTTCAACATGGGTGAGAGATCTCTTAAACCCAAATTTTGAATGATGTAATGCCTTCAGGTCACAAAACGTGGACAAAACTTTTAACTCTACTCTCTGTGTCCTATTTGGTGATAATCAAAAGTAACCATGCTGAAGATTCATTTTATTTCTTCTTTTGAAAGAAAGGGGAAGTTGGTTAAATAGAAGTGTTCTCCAATTTGTTCTCCACTATATGTACACCCACACACATACACACGCACATGCACACACCCCTCAAACTGCACTGACATTTTTGTTTTGACCAAAAGAGTAGATCCTGGGAGTAAGTGCAAAATGCAAAATCAACTGACAGAAAATGCTGAACAAACAGTATCATAAAAATACAAAATATTTATATTACTGAACTATTAACAGATGATGTTCTCTGTTTCTTTAAAACTTTGGAACCACATAGCTGATTTCTTAAATCTAGTCCATGCCAGCTTCCAGAACTATTAATGATTTAGTTAGCTTCATTCTTTGATGCTTCATCAAAGTTTTCTACGAGATCTGAAAGAGATGAAGATATTTAATATAGCGATGCCCAGAAACAACAGCTTCAGTTTAATGAAAATGCATTTACCATATGAAATGTTAGGCAGTTCTTAACTAGATATTCATGTACATACTTTTTTTTTTTTTTAAGTGGGATTTGAAATAGCTTTAAAAAAAAACAAACAAAACAAAACAGGATTTGTTTAATATACGCAAAGAAGCAAAGGAACACTCAGAGTGGAGGTTCTAACACGAAGACAGATTTTCAGAGGTGCTCTCCTAAACGCAGTTGAGTCTTGAGCCACCAGCTTAAATACCTCGAGTGCAATAAGTGACTGCTTAACCAGAAGCAGATAACTTGGAAGAGGCCTGTGTATTTTTATGCAAATTCAAACCCACTGCCAGACCTGAAAATCTGGGTCATCGATTTGTGTATCTTTTTGGCTAATATACTGATGCATGTAAAGTGGTAACTGATACAGTTAACAACCAACAACTTGGAATGAAAGTTTCTCAACAAGACACTGACAAGTTTAATTACTTCTACGGCAGAAATAAAGGTCCCACCCCAAAATGATTTAAAACGATGCTCTGAACACTACACCAAGTACATCTTTTTACAGATATCTTGTTTTCCAGACCTAAAATCTTACTGAGATATTTTGCTCACCCATTCAGCCTCCCTGTATTTTAAACTAAGAATTCAGCAATTCCAGCAAGGCAAACTATTTTCAAAAGCTAGAATCCAGAATCATCACTGTTTCAATGCTGCCCAGCATATTACGCCTCTCTTAGCAATTGAGAGGAACAATTACCTCAAGAGCCAGGTATTTAAATGTGTGAATTACGTACCTGTACATTAAATGGACATATAAGTGGATGTGCTTACCTGGGACATCATCATCTTCTTCATCAATATCTTCAGATTTTGGTGCTTTACTGTCCAACACTATAAAAAGAAACCTGGTGCTGAGTTCTCATCATACAAGATTAGGGACAACCACACAACAAAATAAGACAACAGGAAGGCAATCCCCTCCATACCGCTCACCCCATTAGACACAGACATGCAAGTGATTGGGAGATCAAGAGTAATCAGTATGACCAAAAGATCCATTTGTGAATATTAACACAGCCATTTGCAAACACTCAGCAGTATTAATGCAGAGCTAACAAAAGATCAAATGACAAAAGTCAGCAGTGACTGTATCTTCTAACTGAAGCCACACATTTTAATGCAATGATCATGTTAAACCCATCTGGGACCAGCTTACAGAATAAAAAAACCCTTACAGCTGAAAGAGACCTTTAAAGGTCACCTAGTCCAACACCCCTGCAATGAACAGGGACACCACAGCTAGATCAGGCCTGATACAGCCTTGCCCTCAAAGACTCTAGAGACAAGGCATCAACCAAATCACTGGGTAACCTGTTACAGTGACTCACCATCCTCACTGCAGAAGATATTTTTATTATACCCAACCTAAACCTACCCTCTATAAGCTTGAAGCCATTTCCCCTTATTCTGTAATCACACACCCTGCTAAACAGTCCATCCCCTTCTTTCCTGTAGCTCCCCTTTAGATACTGACAGGCCATTATCAGGTCACCCTGCAGCCTTCTCTTCTCCAGGCTGCACAGTCCCAGCTCTCTCAGTCTGCCCTCATAGGAGAGGTGCTCCATTCTGTGCATCATTTTTGTGGTCCTCCTCTAGATGTACTCTAACAGGTCTGCGTCTCTCCTGAACTGAGGACTCCACATCTGGATGCAGTCCTGCAGGTAAGGCCACATCAGCACAGAGTAGAGGGCCCATCTCCATCCAGACATGCAGCTACTGACCACCACTCTCTGGACCCAATCCTGCAGCCACTTCTTCATCCACTGAACAGTGCACCCATCAAATCTCTCTCTTCCCCACATGGAGAGAAGGATGGTGTGGGGTAGCATGTCAAAAGCCTTCCTGGTCCAGATAGGTGACATCAGTGGCTCTTCCCTTGTCCACTGATGCAGTGACACCATCATAAAAACATGACACCATGATATGACACCATCATATCGTATGATTCGTGTGGAATAAGCATCTCCACATCAAGGGTCCTATGTGAAACCTACTCTTCTGTAAGTCATGGACTTGGACCATGCTAGAAGTCATCTGAAATGCAAGAACTTGAAGCATTTCTTCTCATTGCTCCACCTAATTAAAAGCTGGCTTTCTGTCATAGTTTAAAGAACTACTGGTACTAAGGTCATAATAAAATATAATTATGATGATCCATCTTTTCTCAATCAATCAAAGGCATTTTCTTTAACCTAATAATACCATCCAATACAGTATGCAATAAAAACGTTTCATAAAAGAAAACAAAATCAGTACTTTGACAAACAAAACCTGTTGAGATTTTCTAGGTAAGAACTTCTACTTGTTTTTCTTAACTATTCTGTCACACACAGCTGTGCACATGGAGTTACTGCACACCTGACTGAGCAAATTTCTTTTTTAAGTCTTATTTTTAAGCCAAGGTCAGCCTATGTAGAATCTTGGGGAAAAAAAATAAATAGATGTTTCCTTCCATTATATTTCCACAACAGAGGTAATACAAGTAAACACATTTTTAAGTGACGTGCTATTAAATTTGGGTCAATATTTTAAGGCCGCATTTTCTCTTTTGATCATCAGTGAAAGATTCCACTAAGACCTACCTTGTCTTGGGAATTGTTCAGCTAACTTCCTGAGGCTTGTTAAGCTGTCAGCACCAAGCTGGCTTAAGATGCCTGGAAGCATCTCTGTGATCGGTTTAGCCTCTGCATGACCAGTAATTGCAAAAGTGTTAGCAGAGAGGGATGCCTGAACCTTGGGGTTGTTGAAGTGAATAACTGTTCCATCATCTTTTATCATGTTCACCTGTTCAAATACATGAAGAGCAACATTTACCAAAGTGGTGTTGAAGAAAAGTGTGATAAATTATTATTTCAAAATTAGATTTAAATATTAAAACTAAAGAAACTACAAAAGCATAGGTAATAATATAACCATGAGTACAGTGCCAAGAATTAGCATCACCTGAATTAGAAGGAAAAAAAAGTTAGAAGGGATGGGGGAGGTGGCTCAGATATAGTGTATGAAAAGACTGAATTAACAGGTATGGCTGCCTTAGAGAAATACAGATATCTCTATAGTAGAGTAATAATATACAAGGCTTATGTGTTATCATACAACCTAGGTATGTTTTTGATTAAGGTAAAATAAAGAGGCTATTAGCCTTTAAGGCATAAACTAGTTACTATCAGGAATGCCTCAGAAGGAAAACCAGCTCTGTGGTAACTCTTTACACACTAAAAGCAGTAACAGAAAAGCCTTGACACAGCAGCTGAAGACACTGCCATTCCCAGCTATTTATGCCACCTCTCAGGAAAACATCACTGTTTCTGCAGCAGAACTGGCAAAAGCCTGAGACTCACAACCTGGCCTACTTGCTGAAAATGCCCAGCGCTGAGATTTTCCCCTCACTTCTCTCTTACAGCACTGCAGATTTGTAAATTAGCTGCACTCAAACTGGCTTCTGTGCCCTCCCAGTAATTCTATGATGACCCTTTTGAGCCTAAGCACAACATACAATGGTGCTGCTCCCCTGCCTGGCATTCTGAATCACCAGGGATTAAGTTTACAGCCAGCACAGCTGCCTGCTTAGCTCCTGCTATTGAAGCTCATACTGATACCTTTTAGCAGGTCTTATTTTGCCCCCCCCCCTTTTTTTTTTTTTAAAAGTTAACAGAGATTGAAGTTCCTTTTTTTTTCTGGGCATGACTGAGCTACGGTTACGAGGAAAATAATTTTATCTGCAAAAAAAGAATAGAGCATACTTACACAAACAGATGCAATCTGTTAATAACACTTCTGAATTTTGAGTTTATTAGGTGAGGGTTTTTTTGTGAAGTTACAGAGAGAAAACAAATTTGCCAACTGAAGAATACATCTAAAACATGGAAGTTATCAATTTTCAAGGTTCAAAATATGTTTTGATCAGAGCTTTTTCTTACTTGGAGAAAAGGTGCATCTCTTTCCTACGTAGCTAAGGGGAAGTGATGAATGCTTTAAGCCCAGTCATGCTCAAAAGTCTCTTCAAAACAAATCACAAAATTCTCTGCCTATGTTTGACTCCACATTACAATCCTCTTCAGCTTCTATGTATTTATGCCAATTTGAGTCTACCTGAGTAATACAGCAATGTACTGTAATTAGGTACCAAGTTGTCAAGGTTAAAGAATTTTGAACAGTCTTCCCCCATGTCAATACATTTTTAAGTCTTAACTGTGCCTGAATGAAGATTTTATGCTCTGTGGGGGGACAAAAAGAACAAAGACTGTTTGTCTGCACAGCTTCTAACACACCATACTCCAGTAACAGACAAATTTAGAAGTGTTTCTGCAGCAATGGTATGAAGGCTTTCAGGCAACCCAGGCTTCTACTGAATCTCCATTTGCCTTCAGAGTGCACAGAGACCTCTGGGTCACCTTGTAACCCTGCTTTAATTAATCACAGATTAAATATTATGCTTTTTCAACCAAGCAGTGCTATAATATGGAGCTCAGTATGAAGGAACACCTCCTCCCACATATAAGCATCACAGTCTCTAAAGCATTTTGGAAAGAGTTTTGTACTCCACTTCTTATTTTATCCTGAAAAATTAATACACGCAAAAATGGTAGGGAATACCTGAAGCCTTCCATTGCAACACAGGAGCTGCTTCTGTAGAGTTTTGCCAGTACCGTAAAAACACCGGTCTCCTGTCTCTACCAGAAACAATTCTGGTTTTACTTTCACAAAGTAAGAGCATCCAGTTTCGGTAACATGGACTTGTTAAGTTCCTACTCCAGGGTTGTTGATTCCCTCCTTCATGTTCTGCAGCACACAAAAACTGCGTGTGCTTGTGCAATAAATACACACTCACTGCCCTACTGTTAAAATTTGGTCATTTCAGTTCAAGAGGTTAAGAATCAAGAGCTCTCTTGTTCTGCAATTAACACAAAAGGCACGTATGACAAGCAGCTCACTACCTCCTATGCTTGCTTTCTGGACAGTACAACCTTTCCCCTTCTCTTTCTAGATATGTGCACATTAATGTAAGTGAGACAAATTTAAATAAAATCAAGTAACTTCACCTGTACATAATCAGACATTTGAGTTTGAAAATGAAAGTAAAAAACAACACCAAATCACCACAGTGAATTTAATTTCACACAGGATCCAGTATCACTATACCTCCTCAATGCCAGCAATGTTATTTACTGCCAGTTTTTTGAGTGAACTCTGAAGTTTTTTGTCATCAGCTGTAGCTGTTCTGTGCACCACCTTCTTCTTTCTGCGAGCTGTTCCCTGAAAAAGAATCAAGAGAACAGCCTGCAACACTCAAATTCTCACAACACTTTCAATTTAAAGTCACTTCACACTCAGCAACATCTCTTTTTTGAGCTGTAGTAATGCTCTGTAGCAGAAAATACTTCTCAACTTCCTTTACTTACAGTTTTAGCCGCCAGTCCCAATCTTTACATTTTTCTCAAGTGTAAAAGACAGAAGAAGCACAGCAATAGTATTTCTTTTTCCCCAAAGCTGAATTACAAAAATATTAACTTATAAGCAGCATATAAAAATGCTGTCTGAAAACTTCATTTCAGAAGAGATGAATCAAATCTAAAAATCCACGCTTTTCTATGTAAGCAGTTAACATTTTTAAACTGCCCCAAAGACAGCAATTCTACAATTTCTCATTTGCAAGCTCCCCCTGTCTACTGTTAGGAAATGAATACTCACATGGAATTGTCCATATGCTTTGTCATATTACATACAGGCTGGCACAGATAAAAGAAAGAGCTCAGTGCACAGTCAGATAAACCCTGGAGCTGATACTAGAGAAGAAACTTCCCAACATGCAGAAGAGAAAGAGCTCAAACAAGCAACAGGTAAGCTTCAGCTGAGCATTCACCAGTCACAACAAGTCGCTGATTTAGAATTCGCCTGGAACTGGAACTACTTATTCAGTACTTATTCAGTAGCTGTGAAATGAAATAAAGCTGCTTTTCAGGTAGTAGTAAGATGCAGACCATTTCAGGTCCACACTGCATGAAGAAATCCTTTTTTCAGGCCTCTAACTGCCCTCTCATGAGAAGGCTCTGAGCCCACAGATGCAATCACAGAAGTACCGCTCTCGTAGCTTTCTTACCTTTCCTCCTATTCGGACCTGAGCTTGAAGCTTGGCTAGTTTTTCTTGATTCATAGTGTTGTGTCTAAAGAATGAGGTACAAATACAAGTTAACTACCAAAACATTAAGAAAAAAAATCACTGAAATAACGCAAGCAAATACACAAACAAGAACACACCGTGTAAATAACACAAAGCAGCTCCGCGGAAAAAGCATCTGCACCACAATGACGCAAACCAACGCTACGTTTGATGTTGCCTCAGTTGTAAATCTCCAAGTCTAAGTCTGTCACCTCACCGCCGGACCCACCTTGCTACTGACTCACAGCACAACCGGTACGGACCGCCCAAGGAACGCGGCTTTGTGCTGAGCAGAGCCCAAGGGAGGCTCACCCTGAGCCCCCGATGCACTGCTCCCAAACAACAAACCTACCACAGACCGCTGCAGCTAACGAGCTGCTCCAAAACGAAGAGGTTCACACAGCACCACATTACCGGCTCGGACCTCCGGCAGCCATCGCTCCAACCCAAGGCTAACAAGTTCATCCGGGCTCTGCCGCGGGCCAAGCGCGACCTTTAAAGGCCAGAAGACACGGTATGGGCTGAAAAACGCCTCTGCCGCAGGAGATCAGCCCCGAGAGGCCGCAGAGACGGAAGGACGAGGGCAGGCGCGCCGCGCCGGAGCGACAGAGGGCCGGAAGGCTCCGGCACGGCGCTGCGGGCGGGGAGGACAAAGGCCGCACATCTGAGCGGCAGCGGGACGGCGCGGCCCCGCGGACACGGGACGCTGCGGCTCCGAGCCCGGGGCACGGCCTCACCGCCGTCCTCTGCACCTCAAACAGGGCCCGGCTCACGGGAGCGAGACGGAGCCCGGCGCCGCACAGCCGGCCCACCCGACCCCTCGCGGCTGTGAGCGGGCGGCGGGCGCGAGGCGTTCTCACCTGAATTCGGCGGCCCCTCCGCAGCCCAACACGCGGTGAGAACAAGATGGCGGCCGAGGAAGGAAAGAGCGCCGCACAGAGAAAGGAAGCTTCGCGCCACGTGACGGCACTCAGCCGCCCGCCCCCAGCCACGGATTGGCGGCGAAGCCGACAGTATTTGCATAGCGGCGGGGGAGGGAGCGGCTCGCGCCCGGGCCGCGGTGCATGCTGGGAGTTGTAGTCCGCTCCGCGGTTGACATGGCGGCCCCCGGAGGGCCTGGCGGCACCGCCCACATCCGCCTTGCGTCACTTCTTGGGCTTTAAAAAAAAAAAAAAAAAAAAAAGGGAAAGGGAAAAAGATCCCTGGGGCTGCTCCGATCTCCTCTCCGAGCTCCAGGGCCGTCTTTGACACCATGAAGGCTCATCCCGCCGCAGCCTCCGTCCTCTGCCTGTGCCTGCTGATGGCTGCCGCCGCCGCCGCCGCCGAGGGGCTCGGAAAGGGTCAGCAAACGTTTCCTTCGGGCTTTGCTCTCAGCTTCTGGCGTTGCCGTGAGGGCTCGCGGGGTCACTCGGCGGGTTGGGGCTCTTGGGGCCGGGCCGGAGCCGCCCTGAGCCGCAGCCCCACGCGGCTGGGGAAGATTTGGCCCCTCGCAAGCAGCCCCGCCGCCGACTCCTGGTCACCCTGGCACGGTTTTCCTCTGCCCGGCCTGCCCTCCTCGTGGGCTTGTCGTGGGCAGAGGCTCGGATCCCTTCGGGCTTCACCCGGGGTGGTCGCGCTCTGAGCGGGCTGCCCTGAAGGCGGATGTTCGTTGCAGGGCTGCAGGGAGTGCCTTCAGCCTACCCGGCAAGGCTCTTCGAACAGAGGATTGTCCCTGTTCCATCATGATGGCCTTTGAATGAAATACCCCACGTGCCTGTATTCTGAGTAAATGTGACCTGTTAGCCTTATGGCTTCCAGCTCCCCTCAGCCCATGCACAAGCTTGGACGTCAATGCCTTGCTGGTAGCTGGACTAAATATTTGATGTGTTGTGTCATATGTGTTCACAGTAGTTTGTACTGGGAGATAAGCACAGGTCATAAAAATACTGTGCCAGCAGCTGCAGTTTGCCAGATGCTGAAGGAAGGTACCATAGGGCTTTGTTCCACTCTCCGCAGTTTCTTTGCTACAGGTGTTTACTGGAGGTACTGCCTGCCATGGTGTCAGCACTGGGCAGCTTGTGGCTCCGAATCCTGTGCTGTAGCTCCTCAGATTGTCCCCTTGGTGAGGATACGGCCCGTGCCATGTCGCTAAGTTATCCCAGCCCTCAGCTATGGGAAGGGGAAAGCCATGGCTGAGATTTGCCTTTCAGCACAGCCCGTGTCACTGCAGCGCCGGGACCTCTGAGGAGTTCTTCAGAGAAGGCTCCCTTATCTCAGATCTCCTCCAAATCAGCACTTCATGTGATGGTGGTGACCAAAAAATGGCAGTCTCTGTTTTCCTGTTCTTAGCATATTAGCTGACAGAACAACCTGCTTATTGGATATGTATTTCCCATGTTGTTCGGTCACTGCAAAACTCAGAAACCTGCATAGCAGTGTTCTTTCTTAGTCTTTGATGTCAATTATCAGCAGTGGTAATATTTAGCATAATAATTTTAGAGCATTTAATAATCACTTATTGGTCTAGGTGTATTTGATGTTTGCTCCCATTCACTAGGATTTAGGAAGCCAGATGGTGACATGTTTAATTTGTCATCAATCAGTTAATAAATGTTCATAGGTTGAGAAACAATAGGGAATAATTAGAAGACATTTCAGTTTTAAGCTTTGCTTGGGGAATTTTTTTTGTCCTTTGCATAACTGTGAATATTCATGAGTGTGTGATTTGTTTTTGTTAATTAATTTCAGTGGGATTCCTCAGTAAAACTGTGTAGGTTCTAAGTATTCACAGAAGTCTTTCGAGGACTGCGATTATAATTTCCTTTTTAAAAAAGAATATGTTATGAGCTGAAAATATTCCGGAGGGTTGTTTTCTTCTGATGATGTGTTAACTATGCAGCATTTCTAAAACCTCCTTTCTGGCAGGTTTTGGAGATCACATTCACTGGAGAACACTAGAAGATGGGAAGAAAGAGGCAGCAGCCAGGTATGTTACTTACTTATGAATACAGAAAAGAGGCTTTAAAAGTTCACCCAGATTCTGTACCAATGCTAACCAATCCTAAATTTAACCACAGAAAATACAAATTATTAACAAAGGTATAGGAGACTACTTAGATCCCTACAGCTTATTAGAGAAATAAATAGTTTTTTCTTAATGTTGCTGAGGAATCACCCGTGTTTAATCACTTCAGTTCAATGATTGAGGTTCTGTCATGTTTCCAAAGAAGAAACCCACAAACTGAGGCTTAAAGGCTACTCAGTCCCCTTGAACTCATCAGTGCTCACTGCATCTGTCAGCATGGATGTGCTGGTATGGATGCGAGACCTCGATGTGAGATGCTTTGTTACTAAGGAACAAACTGATAAGTCATTAAAGTAGAACCTTTTATTGGTTGAAACTCTAACACCGTCTCTGTGAAAAGATTTAAAGAAAGTCATTTTTACGTTTCTCTCAGAATCTTCTTGTGTCAAAACATGAGAAATGAAGCTGTCTGTGTATCAGTTCTTGTGTTTGTAACTGTGCACTGATTGACGGGAGACCTCTGGCTGCCCAAGGTGCTGTCACGTGAATGCAGGGCACTGCTCAGTCTGTTGAGCACTTGTAAGTGGATATTTATTTGTAAGCGGCACGTGTTCCACATGTCTGTACGAAAACAGTCGCAGTTTTCGCAGGAATAGTTCTGGCTCTTTGCGGTGAAGCAGAGTTAGCAATAGGCACGGAGGAAGCAGGCGTTACGCAGGATGAGAGGTTCTGCGCAGAACCCCCGGGAGGGCGGGCTGCGGCGCAGGCCCGGCGTCGCCATAGCGACGGTCGGCTCGAGCGGAAGCGGTGGCGGCCACTTCCGGGTCAGCATGGCGGTACCGGGGCGCTGAGCGCGCGATGCCGCTGGTGGTGCTGTGCGGGCCGCCGGGCAGCGGCAAGAGCCGGCGTGCGGCCGAGCTGCGGGACGCGCTGGGCGGAGCTGAGCGGCGGGCGCACGTCGTGGCCGAGGGGGAGGGCGGCCGGGCGGCTCTGCGGGCCGAGGTGGAGCGGCTGCTGAGCCGACGCGACGTGGTGATCGTGGACGCGAGCAACGAGCTGCGGAGCATCCGCTACGAGCTGTACTGCGCTGCGCGACAGGCGGGCACGGCGCGCTGCCTGCTGCACTGCGTCGGCGGCGGCCCCGCGGAGCCGGCCTTTGAGGCCCCGGACCCGCGCAACCGCTGGGACCGGCCGCTGTTCGCCGTGCACGGCGAGGAGCCGCTGCCGCTGGCCGACATCCGCGCGGCTCTATTCGAGAGCGCGCCGCCGCCGCCGCACCGCGCCACGCGCAGCCAGCCCCTGCAGTCCGGAGACTTCCTGCACCTCCTCGACCGCGCCACGCAGGACGTGGTGGCCGCTCTCGTGGCCGCCCAGAGGAGCGGGGCGCAGCCTGGAGAGCTGGTGCGCGTCCCCGGCGTGGAGGAGGGGCTGGTGCTGCCGCGGCCCGTCAGCCTGGCCGAGCTGAGCCGGCTCCGCAGGCAGTTCATCAGCTACACTAAGATGCAGCCCAGCGATGAGAACTTGGCGCAGCTGGCCGGCATGTTCCTGCAGTATCTGAGCCGCAGCATCCAGTGAGGCGCGGCTCCTTCCGTCCCGAAGTGCTTGCAGCTGTAGGAACGTGCCCTCCTGCCGTGCACCTCAGCACTATGTGATGCGTGTGTCACATAGCAAAGCCCGTGACAGTGCTGAGAAAGTCAGTACCGTGGTGCTGGAGCAGCTGTACTCCTAAGAGGATCTGTAGGATCTTCCTGTCCTCTCTACTGCACTCTCCCCATGTCTTTCTTGTTTGCTTGTTGCATCCCCGCACAGCTGAAGTCTCCTGTGGAGACCTGCACCTCAATACTAATGTAGCAACTGAGCATAAATGCTGCAAAGCGGTGAACATAAGGAGAACTCCTGCCCTCCTCATTGCCATGTCTGTCTCTTGAATAAGAAGCCTGCTGTTCCAAGGCTGCCTCCATATGTATCAAACTGCAGAGGGGGACTTCAGTTCCTGGACTGGAAGAGGCTGTATTTTTGGGACATAACTGTTTTTCAAAATCCTGTTGAACCCAACAGATAGATCTGCAAACTCTGCACAAAAGCAGGGTGCTGGCTTAGGAAACAAATCTCTCATTTCAAGTTTAACAATAAAACATGTGCCTTAGATGGAACAGTCTTAATCTTAAACTGTTTTATTGAAACAACTTGCTGTGGCTTTTTTTTTGCAAGGTCCTCATTAAAAGCTTTTAAAAACACTAATTGTTTATGAGTGCTCTTGAGCTTGTTTCGAGAGGATGCGGTGTGATGGCAGTGTGCTCTGGCCAGTCCTCAAAGTCTGCACTGGTTGTGACTGGGTAATTATTTTTGTATTTAGCTTCAGCTGATTTCAGTCTTTACTGTGCCACGTGTCTGGCCTGTCCATATGTTTCACATTCTGGTGGATGCTTCATCCCTCATGCAAATAAGTGTCAGAGTCTGCTTTCATTTTTTGTGTGGTGCTATCTGGGAGGAGATGGTAAGTGGGGCAAGAAGAGTTGCTTCAGTGATTTGTCCATGTATCTGATGTACTGGTTGCTAAGTGGACATTGCCATTTCAGAATGTGAAAATGACTACAGAAATGTTTTTATGTAAATAGCATTACTTTTCCAGTTAAAAAGAATAAAACTGAGGAAGCACATGCAGTATCTCTAAAACTTGTGTGATTTCATCCTGGCTAAGAGTTTATATCGTAAGACTGAGCACTTGCATTTAAAATCTGCATAGAAAATCAATCGATAGTGCAGTGCAGTACCAATTGCAGCTACTTCTGACCTCTTCTGACGTGAAGATCCTTGATGATAAGAGCAGTGTCTGTTTTCCAGATTTAATTCAGCATTTAATTCCCAGAAACGGGGGGGAGAAGAGGGGAAGAAAAAAAAAAGAAAAAAAAAGTATTGTTGGGGCGGGGACACGGATGTGAAAAGAGCTTTGCTAGGGAAA